TGGGCTGTCAAGAACATAGAGGAGGTATCTTAGCTAAAGGCATTCAAAACATTACAAAGTAAAAACAAGTATTAGAGTAAAATAGTGCAATGTCCTTGTCTAAAGTTAAAAATAAGGTAAAATAGAGGAATTCACTTATCTATAGAGGCAAATCAAAGCTTTATCGTTAAAGGTTGAATCATGACCTCTCATAGTTGTTATCGTGTATAGATTCCTCAATGTTCAACCTCCCAAGTTTCAGCTCCTCTGCCTCTTGAACAATAGAGACTTCTTCATTTTGCACACCCTTCAGAAGGAACTTAGAATTACCCTTCATTGACTTTTATATACTGAGATATGATAGAATTACCCCTCATTCAAGTGTAAAGCTGCCATTTTGCTGGCATATTTGTGTTTTAGAACACAAACTAAGGTGTCTATCTATTGTCATAGCAGCATAAGAACGGGTCATTTGTAAAGAGACAATTTTCCACAACACTCGATGAACCAATCTCACCAAACACTCTACTTATTGTTTCAATGGAAGACTCAATTGACAAGTTCAATTGAATTTGCCGATAGATCATTCCTTTCAATTGAATTAGCAAATGAATTTTATACTTAACCCGAAAATTGTTCTGAAACAAATATTTTAAATAAATTGTGAAACTGCAACAGTGTGTCGTATTAAAGGCATTTAGAGATGAAAAGTCATTCTTTAAAGGTGAGCCTTAGAAAGTACAGACTGTAGTGACGGCTGTTTTTGGGTCAAACTAATCGAGACATCTTTTATATTTAATGGAGAGAACTGCTGTATTTTTTTTTTCCTGCGGTAGGGTTTGGTTTTGTTCCTCCAGCCATTAGGAACCTGGCAAATTCAATTGCACTAGACCTTTTATTTTATTGAAAAGTTTTATACATAAAGGTACCAAGATGGTACTTTGCGCTAGATCTAACCTAATGGGCAACTGCAAGTCCCAGATTCTGATTGCACAAAGAATCAGTTTTTGCTTATCTTGAGCACTTAAATCTCTGTTTCTATTTTGTTACCTCTAAATGAACTGTTACATAAGTTCCCTTGCGTGGTTGTTAGATGTGTTTCTATGCATGCTAGTATAAATATCTTGTAATTCTCATTTGTCCTGGTCTATACTCTGGCTTTGACGGTGCTTTAGTAAGTTTAATGTTGATTTTTTCACTATCGCTTTAACGGTGCTTTAATAAGTTTAATGCTTATTGTTTCTCTGTTGTTGCAAGCATCTCCAAAATAGAGCTGATTTGCAGCTTTCGAGAGTACCAAATTTCTTGGTGGTTAAAAAAATTTAGTATTTTCCAGGTTCGCATATTTCATCTACTTCTTCGCCAAGATCTGCACCTAAAAAGCTTGTATCACCCTTTCGGTGCCTGTCCTTGAAAAAAATGGATGAATTTCAGGATGAAACTCAGCACTTGCACCAGCCTGTGGCTAACATTAATCAAGATCTTGAAACAGCTTACGTAGCTCAGATGTGCCTGACCTGGGAAGTTCTTCACTGTCAGTACACACAATTGAGTCAGAAAATCTCTAGCCAACCTGATAGTCCCATCTTCTATAATCACAGCGCTCAGCAGTTTCAGCAGTTATTGGTCTTGTTACAACGATTTATTGAAACTGAACCTTTTGAACCGGGTACGAGGCCTGAAATTTATGCTCGCATGAGAAATGCATTGCCTATGCTACTTCAGGTTCCTAAAGTCCAAGGTAGTACTGATATCTATAATGATTGATTTCCGATTAGATGTTATTTGATTTTCCTAATGATTAAAGACTTTTTTTTTCCCTTGTATTGAATGACTTGGACTTGTTAAGAATATGTAATTTGCAAAAGTTCGCGTTGTATTTAATGCATATTAAACTTTGATGTACTGGAGTTGGTAAAGTTGATTTTCTCTTGATCTGTCTAAGAAATCCAATCTCTCAAGTTTAGGTTCAGATCAAAAGAAATTGGAAGATGATGAGTTGACAGTTCTTGCTCCAGATCTACTCAAAGTGATTGAAAGTTCAATCCTCACTTTTCGTCTATTTGTGAAGATGGACAAGAAGTCTAGCAGTGTACGAAATCTTTTCGGAAGCCAGAACCAGATGACAACACCCGTTCATCAGGTTCAATGTTCTCTTGAAAAGGTAAGGCATTGGTTTGATATTCTCTGTTTAACCATCCTTATGCGTGTACCTTACTTTCGGCACTGTACTTTTATGAGGTAGTATGGTTAGTGTTTGTCCTGGAAGAATTTCAAGATAGTTTCCTTTTCATGCTCCGGGGAATAAGGAAATATAGAATATATGTGTTTGTATAAAATAGTTGAGACCCACTCAGAAGAATATCCAATATGGAGCAGATTTAGGGAAGGCTTCAAACTTGTTTCCCACATTATCCACTTGAGATGAAAAGATGAGCTATACCATCAGTCAATGAGGTTGCCTTCGAATTTGTCTAGTCAAAATTCCCGACTTAATTCTCTCTTCTTGTCTCTTCCTCATCCTGTTTCTGAAATGTGGGGGCTCCATTTTCTTCTCTCTTTTAGCACATTGCACCACCTGTGGATTTCTTTCAAATTTTGCCACAAGGAACTGTACCAGCAGTTTCTGCGATATTCATATGATGTGTGATTAGGTGTCTTCGATTGTGACGAAGAGGACCATACTCCATATCATCAAATGATAGTATGGTTTCTTTCATAAGCCTTTTCTTGACTCTTCTATCTATGTCGTATTCATTCCCGTCCAGCTCTTATGCGGAGGTCAAGAGGAAAGTCTTGCTTCCTTTCCCCCAAACAGATTTCTGAACCATAAATTAATAGGAAAGTAAGGTTGTTTAGTGAAAGATTGTTAAATAATAAAAACTGGAAGACGTTTTGGCCATTGACAAATCCATAGTTTCGTTACAGTATTAGAAGTCCGCCATAGGAGATTTCTAGGTTTCCTCTGATTCCTATTTATTTGAATATTGAACTGATATTATTAACTTAATATCCATTTGCTATTTTCAGTAGTTGGTTGTAATGTAGTATTGCTAATAGTAATTCAAGCAACCCTTCGGGGTGGCCCAGTGGTTTGAGCTTGGGACTTCCATGTTGGAGGTCTCAAGTTCGAAACCCCTTGCCAGCGAAAGCAAGGGGTTTGCCTTCTGGGTCGAGCTCGTCGCACCAGGCTTGCCTAGTGCGGGTTACCTCTCCTATGTGGTTTGCGAGCTATTGCATAGGAGCGGGGTTTTACCCTGTGCGCACCCAAAGGGTAGCGGTTGCGGGTTTCCCTTGTCATAAAAAAAAATTAAAAAAATCAAAA